TTATTTAAGTTGTGTCTGTTGAACATGTAGAGATTTTTTTCTCTTACCAATATTTCCTAGACAATACAATATAACAACTGTTTACCTAGCAGTTACATTGCTTTGGGTGTTACAAGTAACCTAGAGAGCAAGAGAGCCACAGATCCTATACACACACTACCCCATTTTATTTAAGGGACTTGAGCAGCCACACATAACAAATGCTTGTGGATACCCAAACCAATAGACAATCAAGTTCCTTAAATAAAATGGGGTAGTGTTTGCCAGAACCAATCTCCCAAGGGTATGATGGATAGCTGCATATTTTTATGAACATTAGCACAGTTTATGTGACTGCACCTCTAAATTAAGATATGTAGGATATATTCATATGTAAGATATATTTATCCTTCTCTGTGTGTAGTCATAAAGTGCATGTCTGTTCAGTGTACTTGTGTATGCCCATACCCACACATGTGACATCACATCGTATTCGTACAGCTGTGTTTGTGTATGTGCCCTCTCTACCTGAGTCCTCTGATGGGCTGGGGACTTGTGAGATGAGTGCACCAGAGTCGGGGGGTGGGTAGTTAATAGAAGTTCCACCTCATAGAAGCAGAGTTCACCAATGATCACAGTGCTGACTGTGAGCAAGATGAAGACTTTTCTGCGCAGAGTGCTCTATGGTCCTGGGCTGCAGACACAGGTGCATGCGCAGTGCTCTCTGCTGCCAACTGTCCTGAAGTCCCTGCAGACAGCCCACACCACCCAGGCGCTGGCCGCTCTCCCTCAGGAACAGACTGATGCTGTGGCTGCTCATAGCCTCTCTCCTGAGACAGAGGAGACCAGGTCTGGTGAGGGAAGAATCCGGGAAAGGAGTGGGTAAGGTGGAGGGGCGGGCACTTGCAGCTCAGAAGTCAGGCAAGGGGGACTGAGAGCCTGCCTGGGATCGGATTCAGTTTTTATCCCAGCAGCAAAAGGTTAAGGTCTTCGGACCCAAACACCAGAGAGGGTGGTTAGAGACAGGGTAGAAAACACACACACACACACACACACACACACACACACACACACACACACACACACACAAATGCTGCACACCTTTCAGGTTTTCTACCTCCAGCCTCCTTCACTGAGATCATCCCAAGCAACTGGGAGCTGCTGCTGCAGCTCTCAAACTAAAGTGCCAGGCCTTTGCTGAATGCCCAATGCATAAGAGCTCTTGAAAGGGCACCTTTAGGCTAGTCGCCCTAACCACAGTAGTTGGGTGTCCAGCCCGAAGACGCCCATAGTCGACTTTTCACAAGGACAAAATCAGCTGGTGCCTGGTAAACAGTGGCACCTAACTAATGTGGCTGCTCTGTGTGTGTGACCAGGACAGCAATGTTGTGAGGGAGGGGTCGCTGGGAAAGAAATGATGACAATTCTAGTCCCAGCTTGAGGTTCATGACCCTCTTTTGGAGTGAAACCTCAGACTTTGTGTCCCTTTTTTGCATGTGTCCGTATTTATTTATCCTTATTGACTTACTTTTTAAAAGATAACCAAAATGGGATGATGTGTTTTCCATGAATTAAATAAAATGCACATAAATATAAAATTGGCCAATCTGTTTAGCAGCCAAACACTTGGAAGTTACAAAACAGCTTAGAAACTGTGGCTTTTGACACAGCCTTTGACAGCTACTCTAGAGGATGGTGGGGGACGGCAGTTTACAAGTTTAAGGCCAGCACCTGCAACTTAGTAGGACCCTGTCTCAAAATAAAAAGTAAAAAAGAGAGCTATTGGGAAAGGGGTGGGAGATGGCTCAGTGATTGAGGGTGCATATTGCTTCTGTAGAGTTCCATTCCCAGCACCCACATCAGGCAGCTCAGAACTGCTATGCCCCCTTCTGGCCTCATTGGCATCTGCACTCACATGTACACACACACACACACACACACACACACACACACACACACACACACACACACCAAAACCGAAAATAAAATTCTCTTTTAAAGAGGGCCAGACTATATAGCTCAGTGGTAAAGTACTTGCCTGCCATGTTCAAGGCTCCAAGTTCAATTCTCAGTACTGATCCCCTCAGCTTCCCAAGTAGCTGGGATTACAGGCATGCACCACCAGTGCAGCATTGAACTGTTCCAGCATTGTTTTGATGCCACTACCCACGTGGCTGTCTTCTAAGATGGCAGCTCTCTGTATCTGTCTGATTTCTCCACCTGTTTCCAAAAGACAAGTCGCCTGACTAGGCTTTCCATGCCCTGTATCCTGCAACTGCTTCTCATTACAAAGCCCCATTCAGGATTTTGCTCCAAATGAACTGGTCCTCTGAAGCCACAGTGTTGCTTCTCACCTTGCTCTGAACACTCACAGACACAGGACTGCACAGAAGATGAGCAGTCTCTCCCTCTCCTCAGGGACATCATGTTCCTAGTTACCAAATGATGACTGGAAATCACCTATGAATCCCAAGAGCAATCAACAGAGTCCAAACCAGTCAGGAGTCTGAACACTTGTCTCTTTCCTATAGTCCAGGCAGCTGGCTCTGCAGATCCACAAATCAACCTCCTCAGATAAAACCAACACTGGATGTGAAGTGTTCAGTGAGTCAAGCCTAGAGCTGCACTCCCATCATCTCGGCATTTAGGAGGCTGAGACAGCAGAAGCAGGAGTTCAAGGCCAGCCTGAGTTGGATAGAAAGACCCCCATATCAGAAAGTCAATCAATCAGCACACATCTAGCTTCAAGAGCTCTTGACATTTGATGGGTTCTGGAGGAAGAAAGGGCAGTTTTCTTCAGTGGTGTGGCCCATGATAGGATGCCCGTGCTCCAGTGGTTGGTGCCTATACTCATGGGCATCGGGGCAGCACTAAATGGACTCAGTGGATTCTTTAGAGGAAGGGAAGATAAAGAGGAGGAGGAGGAGGCAGCAACCTGAAGTTAGGAGGAGTCAGGAGGAGTCAAGAAGAGTTGAAGAGGAAAAAGAAGAGAGTTAGACATGATCTAAATATACACGTGCTCATGTATGAAACCACCAAGGAATACTTTTTAAAACTCAACGGTAAGGCTGGAGAGACGGTTCAGAGGTTAACAATGCTTGCTGTTCTTTGAAAGGACCAGGTCGGGTGGCTCAGAGCCAGAGGGTCCAACTCGTTCTTCTGTCTCTGCAGTCACTGAACTCAAGTGTACATAGCCACATGTGAATACACGTAATTAAAAAGATAAAAATAATTTCTATTTTATGTGTGTGAGTGTTTGACTCCATGTATATATGTGCACCGTGTGTGCGGTGACCACAGAGTCCAGAAAAGGGCCTTGGATCCCCCGGAACAAGAGCTACAGGGAGTTGTGAGCTGCCCTGTGGGTGCTGGGAGCAGAATCTGGGTTCTCTGTGAGAGCAACAGGCACTCTTAAATGTTGAGCCATCTCTCCAGCCTCAAAAGAATTTTTTTTAAATTAATGGTAGTGTGAGTTTAGCATGTGCAAAGGCTTGGATTTAATTCTCAGCACCAAAAATCGATCAATCAATTGATAAAAAGTTGTTCACTTTGCATCTGTACTGGGCATGAACAGACTTTTCCTCTTATTCCCTAAACAATATAGCATAGCAACTATGCACAGTATTGAAGTTGTGCTAGGTGGAGTTATTCTTATATTTATTACTGCGTGTGTGTGGTCAGAGGACAACTTTTGGGAGGCCATTCTCTCCTCCGCCATGTAAGTCCCAGAGATTGAACACAGGACTTCAAGTTTGGTGACAAGCTCCTTTACCCACTGTTCTAGGCATTAAACACAATGTAGAGATGAGCTAAATATGAAAGAAGACAGGAATGCGTTCTGTGCAAATATGATGCCATTTTATGTAAAAGACTTTTGAAATACAAGGGGTTTGGAGTCTACCTAGGATGGAGGGTGTGTCTGGAACAAATTCTCTCTGAGATCTACAAACAACAAGGTAGTGTGGGAGTTGACATGATAGTCTGTGAGTCAAATCTGGCCTGATATCTGTGTTGTTGGCATTTTTTAATCATGGTATTGGCACACAGCTGCGTTCATTCACTGGGTATTTCTGCAGGTGCTTTCAATCTTCAGCGGCAAAGGTGAGTTGCTGGAATAGAGTTCACAAAACAAACAATTTGCAGAAGTGGGGGTGGGGAGGACAAGGTGGTTTGATGGGTAAAGAGGATTGCTGCCAAGCTGGATGGCCTGAGGTCAGTCCTGGCCCCACACGGTGAAAGGAGAGAACTAACTCCCACAGACTGTCCTCTGACTGCTTTGCGCATGCTCGAGGGTGCGTACGTGCACACACGCACACACTGAATACATGTGATTTTTTTTTAAAGGCTGACTGTAGGCTAGTAAAAGCACACACGAGTGATGGAGTAATAGGGCATGGCTCAGGAATAGAGCATTCATCAAGTGTACATGAGGCCCTGAGTCCCATCCCAGAACTAGAGGGAAAGAAGGGCCAGCAGGGAGTAATTAACAATTAAAAACAATTCAATAAATAAGCAGAAATCCAAAAGGTACAGGGCTGAACTCAAATGCAAGGCTGTCTTCCACACCTTCACCATGCCTGCCTAGATCACTGTAAACATAATACAGCTGTGATTTGTCACTATGTTAATACTTCCCTTTTGTCTCAGTGGATAATTATGTGATAATTGCTTCCACTCACAGGGCACAGTGAAACCTCAGAACAAGAAGGCAAACTATGATGCCAGATCAAGTTCCTTACCACTTTCATCCCCATTAGCCAGGAACACTCCAACTCCTGTCTTCTAATCCTTTATAAAAGCATAAATTGTCGAACAGTCTCATCACTCTCCTCTTCCCTGTCTCCCCTCTCATAATCGCTATTCTACTCTCTGTTCAAGGTCAGGATCTGTAGCTTGCACATGAATGAGATCACACAGGATTTGACTCTGTGACTCTTTATAAAATTAACATTAATCCTTCGGGGGAATGCTATAATGAAAATGAATTCTTTGTATGCTTATTAAGATGTAATAAATGTTACCTTTTATAATACTTGACTTGAAAGTATCCTCCACCTGGGAAGAGCCCCGGGAGCTGTCAGGCATGTCGCATACAAGGAGCCAGTTGTTCTGGTTTCTTCTGGTTCTAGGCCTTCTCTCAGCCCCTGTCTCCTAAGCTACTTAGTCTGAAACTGGCCTTTCCAGGATCTCCAACCTCTGCAAGGTAAAGGGTTAACGGATGGGTCTCACCCCTTGTCCCCTCAACTCTCAAGTGTAATGAGCCATTCCAGCCACCCCTTGGAGATAAGGGGAAGACAAGAAGGTCCTTCTGAGCCCTAAACCTCAAAAACGAGTCAGACTTTCAAGACTAAGAGGCCTTTGAAAGTGAAGGGCTTGTCTCACTAAACAGATGATATCCAAAGCTAAGGGCCACCGCCAACATGGCCAGAAAGCAATGGGGGAGAAGACCTCGAATGATCTAAAGGGACCATGGGGTGTTATAATAAGCCCCGAGGGAGAAGAAATGTACAATTACATTAACATCTTATACACTGGCTGTAGATGTGCAATAGCACCAACTCCACAAAACAGTCATTGTCCTGGGATAGAAGGTTCATCCAAAAACAGACTTGTGTGAGCTTGGTGTGGTGATGCAGGGCTATCATCCCAGCACTTGAGAAACAGCAGCAGAATGGCAAGTTTCAGGCCAGCCTGGGCTACCCAGGGAGCTTTTGTCTTCTAATGCGGTGTGGGGGAGGGACTGAGGGAAAGAAGTGGAGAGTTGTTGGTACTTCTTAACCAGATCAGAATGTGATATGATGTGGCCTTGCGGGGTTAACTTCAGCCTTCAGGAAAGGAATATGCAGAAAAGATTTTTTTGTTTGTTTGTTTGTATTTTTTAATGTTCTCTTTTTCTTTGTTGATGTAGCCTAAGGCTGTACAGGGGTGTGTGTGTGTGTGTGTGTGTGTGTGTGTGTGTGTGTGTGTGTGTGTGTGTGTGTGTTTGTACATAAAGATGAGCAGCTTATTTTTATCATATGTATGTGAGTGTTTGCCCTGCATCTAACACACCTGGTGCCTGTGGAGGCCAGAAGAGGGTGTTAGAGCCTCTGGAACTGGTAATCAAACCAGGATCCTCTGCAAGAGCAGAAAGTTCTCTTTACCACTGAGCCATTTCTCCAGCCCTTAAGCTGTGAGTTTGAATGGCCTCCTGTTTTTTCTTTCTTCCCTCTGTTCTCAGACCTATAACTAAGCCATCACCAAGGTCTTCTCTTACACAAACAATGGTAGGCTAAATTGTGGATAGATGCTGTGCTAAGTGGAGGAGTGAGTGACAGGAGGAAAGGCAGAATAGGAAATGAGTTCATCTCACACACACACTTGAATACAGCCTCATATCTTGTGTGCAGTTGACACCTACATAATCCTTTATGGACACACTGTCCCACATAGACTCTTCAGAAAAACAGTCACACACAACCTTCAGAAATGCAAATCCATATTGGCACACCAGACACACAATTCCAGCCCTACAGAAAGTACTAGAAGGAAAATTCCAACCCGAGGAAGCAAGCTGCAACCACCAAAACACAGATAACAGATAACTTCACATCAACAAATGCCAAAGAAGGGAAACACATACACATTACCACCAAAAAATAACACAAATTAAGAAACACTGGTCACTAATAACCATTAATATCAATGGACTCAATTTGCCTATAAAAAGACACAGGCTCACAGAATGGATACAAAAACAGGATCCATCCTTCTGCTGCATACAAGAAACACACCTCAATCTGAAAGACAGACATTACCTCATAGTAAAAGATTGGGTAAAAAACTTTCCAATCTAACTGGACCTAAGAAACAAGCTGGTGTAGCTACCCTAATATCTAACAAAATAGACAAAAAAAGAGATCTCTGACTATAACTCCTTTGGTTAGCCTTTTTTAAAGCTATGACCAATAACAATTGGTTTGTAACCAACCCACCTTAAATGAAAACAAATATTTACAAACAATATTTTGGTAATTTGGGCATAGTTTTCTATACTACTTCCTGCTGACTGGGGACACATTTTCATTGAATTCTAGAAAGTCTTTAATTTCTTTCTTTATTTCTTCCTTGATCCATTGGTGATTCAGTTGAGTATTGTTCAGTTTCCATGGAATTGTAGGCTTTCTTTAATTTTTGTGGTTGTTAAAATCTAACTTGAAGCCATGGTGGTCTGGTATAATACAGGAGGTTAATCCAATTTTTTTGTATCTGTTGAGATTTGCTTTGTGACCGAGTATGTGGTCGATTTTATAGAAGGTTCCATGAGGTGCTGAGAAGAACATATATTCCTTTTGTTAGGATGGAATGTTCTGTAGATATCTATTAAGTCCATTTGAGTTATAACATCTGTTAGGTCCCTTATTTCTCTGTTAAGTTTCAGTCTGGCAGATCTGTCCATTGTTGAGAGTGGGATGTTAAAGTATCTCACTATTAATATGTGATGTTAGATGCACGATTTAAGCTTTAGTAATGTTTCATTTATATATGTGGGTATTTGGGGCATATTGTATTGGGGCATAAATGTTTAGAATTCAGACTTCATCTTAGTGGATTTTTCTGTGATGAATATGTAATGTACTTCTCAATCTCTTTTGACTGTTTTTAGTTTGAAGTCTATTTTGTTAGATATTAGGATAGCTATACCAGCTTGCTTCTTAAGTCCATTTGATTGGAAAGTCTTTTTCCAGCCTTTTACTCTGAAGTAGTATCTATATTTTAAGTTGAGGTGTGTTTCTTGTATGTAGCCAAAGGATGGATCCTGAATGTGTATCCATTCTGTTAGCCTGTGTCTTTTTATAGGTGAATTGAGTCCATTGATATTAAGGGCTATTAATGGCCAGTGATTGTTAATTCCTGTTTGTCTTATGGTGGTAGTGTGTGTGTATTTCCCTTCTTTGGGATTTACTACTTTGGGGTCATCTATTGCATGTGTTTTCGTGGGTGCTTCTGACTTCCTTTAGTTGGAGTTTTCCTTATAGTGCTTTCTCTAGGGCCAGGTTTGTGGATAGGTATTGTTTAAATCAGGTTTTGTCTGAGAATGTCTTGTTTACTCCATCTATGGTGATCAAAATTTTGCTAGGTATAGTAGTCTGTGCTGGCATCCATGGTCTCTTAATGTCTGCATTACATCTGGCCAGGACCTTGTGGCTTTCAGAGTCTCCATTGAAAAGTCAGGGTCTGATGGGTCTGCTTTTATAAATCACTTGGCCTTTTTTCTTTGCTGCTCTTAATATTCTTTCTTTTTTTAATTTAATTTAATTCTATTTTACATATAATTTAGTTCAACATATCAGCCACAGATTCCCTTGTTCTCCCTCCTCCCGCCCCCTCCCCTTCCCCCCAATCCACCCCCCATTCCTACCTCCTCCAGGGCAAAGCCTTCCCCCGAGGACTGAGATCAACCTGGTAGACTCAGTCCAGGCAGGTCTAGTCCCCTCCTCCCAGGCTGAGCCAAGCGTCCCTGCATAAGCCCCAGGTTTCAAACAGCCAACTCATGCACTGAGCACAGGACCTGGTCCCACTGCCTGGATGCCTCCCAAACAGATCAAGCCAATCAACTGTCTCACCCATTCAGAGGGCCTGATCCAGTTGGGAGCCCCTCAGCCATTGGTTCATAGTTCATGTGTTTCCATTCATTTGGCTATTTGTCCCTGTGCTTTATCCAACCTTGGTCTCAACAATTCTCCCTCATATAAACCCTCCTCTTTCTCACCAATTGGATTCCCGGAGCTCCACCCGGGGCCTAGCCGTGGATCTCTGCATCCAGTTTCCTCAGTCATTGGATGGGGTTTCTAGCACGACAATTAGGGTGTTTGGCCATCCTATTACCAGAGTAGGTCAGCTCGGGCTGTCTCTCGACCGTTGCCAGCAGTCTATTGTGGGGGTATCTTTGTGGATTTCTGTGGGCGTCTCTAGCACTTTGCTTCTTCCTATTCTCATGTGGTCTTCATTTACCATAACCTCCTATTCCTTGTTCTCCCTCTCTGTTCTTGATCCAGCTGGGATCTCCCACTCCCCCAAGGTCTCTTTCCCTTGGCCCTCACCCTTCACTACCCCCACTCATGTCCAGGCTGTTCATGTAGATCTCATCCATTTCTCCGTCATTGGGTGATCCCTGTGTCTTTCTTGGGGTCCTGTTTTCCAGGTAGCCTCCCTGGTGTTGTGAGTAGCAGTCTAGTCACCCTTGTTCCACATCTAGTATCCTCCAATGAGTGAGTACACACCATGTTTGTCTTTCTGAGTCTGGGTTACCTCACTCAGGATGATTTTTTCTAGATCCATCCATTTGCCTGCAAAACTCATGATGTCATTGTTTTTCTCTGCTGAGTAGTATTCCATTGTGTATATGTACCACATTTTATTTATCCATTCTTCAGTTGAAGGGCATCTAGGTTGTTCCCACGTTCTGGCTATTACAAACAATGCTGATATGAACATAGCTGAGCAAGTGCCCTTGTGGTATGATTGAGCATTCCTTGGGTATATGCCCAAGAGTGGTATAGCTGGATCTTGGGGGAGATTGATTCCCAATTTTCTAAGAAAGCACCATATTGATTTCCAAAGTGGTTGTACAAGCTTGCATTCCCACCAGCAGTGGAGGAGAGTTCCCCTAGCTCTACATCCTCACCAGCATAAGGTGTCTTCAGTGTTTTTGATCTTAGCCATTCTGACAGGCATAAGGTGGTATCTCAGAGTTGTTTTGATTTGCATTTCCCTGATAATTAGGGATGTTGAGCAATTCCTTAAATGTCTTTCAGCCATTTGAATTTCCTCTGTTGAGAATTCTCTGTTTAGTTCTATACCCATTTCTTAATTGGACTGTTGGACATTTTGATGTCTAATTTCTTGAGTTCCTTATATATTCTGGATATCAGTCTTCTGTCAGATGTGGGGTTGGTGAAGACCTTTTCCCATTCTGTAGGCTGTGGCTCTGCCTTGTTGACAGTATCCTTTGCTCTACAAAAGCTTCTCAGTTTCAAGAGGTCCCATTGATTAATTGTTTCTCTCAGTGTCTGAGCTACTGGTGTTATATTTAGGAAGTGATCTCCTATGCCAATGCGTTCAAGACTACTTCCTACTTTCTCTTCTAGCAGGTTCAGAGTAGCTGGATTTATGTTGAGGTCTTTGATCCACTTGGACTTAAGTTTTGTGCACGG